AGTTGGACATTCCGGTTATTCTGCTTTTTTTTAATTCACTAACGCTCTAAAAATGAATATTTCAGCCGCAATAAAGAATCAACGTTGGCGGATTTTGGTTCTTGACATCCTTTACGATCGGTTACGATGCCTAGAGTACGGAGACCTGTACGATTTCGTCAACTTAGTGAGTTTGATATGGGCCGTATAGTGGGACTTCGGGAAGCTGGACTTTCTTTTCGGGCAATTGCAGTTAGAGTGCAAAGAAATGTAGACGCAGTGGTTAGGTGTTGTCAGGCATGGCTTCGAGAAGGCCGTACGCAAAGAGCAAGGGGCACTGGACGCCGCCGTAGAACAACAGACCGTGAAGATCGCCGCCTAAGATCATTGGCCTTAAGGGACCGTTTCTCCACTACCAGGTCCATTGCAAATGAATGGTTTGCAGAACACGGAAGACCTATTGGCATGCGAAGTGTTTACCGACGAATGAGAAGTTTTGGCTTGTTTTCATACCGGCCACACTGGGTCCTCCCTTTAACTCGAGAACACCGACGTAATCGCCTGCAGTGGTGCAGACAACGGTCACTCTGGGATCAGGAATGGAACAGTATTGTCTTTAGTGACGAGTCTCGATTTTGTTTAGGCATGCACGATGGTCGTGCCAGGGTTAGAAGGCGACGTGGTGAAAGGAGGAATCCACAGTTTTTTTTGTTAAAAGACATGTTCATCACACTGTTGGAGTTATGGTTTGGGGTGCTATAGCTTATGGTTCCAGGTCACCTTTAATCTTCATCAGAGGTAACATGAACGCGCAGCGTTATATCCACGAAGTTCTAGAACCCCATCTTGTACCCTATCTTGACACCCTGACAGATCCAACTTTCCAACAAGATAATGCCCGACCACATGTTGCAAGAGTCACAATAGACTTCTTTCAACATAATGATGTCACATTGTTACCATGGCCACCAAGATCTCCCGACTTATCCCCAATTGAGCACGTGTGGGATATGATGGGTAGGAGATTGCTGAATTTGCAACGTCCTCCTCAGACTCTAGAAGCACTTCGAGAGGAGTTGGTGGTTGCCTGGAATGAGATACCACAGGAGGACATTGACCACCTGATCAGAAGCATGCCTAGGCGCGTTGGAGAATGCGTAGCACATCAGGGTGCATCCACACATTATTAAAGGTCAAGGGACTCATTTTGAAATTTTTATCATTTACTTATTATGCTTCATTAAGTACTTATACAAAATTTTATTAAAATAAAACCATTTAAACTGGGTGTTCGGATTTATATGTCACTCAGTATATAACAAATTCTTGTAAATACGGGAGACGTACTTATATCTATTAAATAACATTGCTCAATTGAGAATTTGAGATTTGATATAGTTATTATAGATGACTATTTGTTACACAATAGTTGACTAACTTAATGATTAGACTGTAAGACTAGAGTACTTCTCTATTCGATTGTTTCTCATGTCATAATTAAATTTTAATGTCAATTGTCATATTAAACGTCCGCCATATTAGATAGAATGACATCACTTTGCTTATTGTGTTTCTTTCATCATTACCTTTCATTCGATATTCTGAAAATGGGGGTAATTATGGAAATTATAAATCGATATTTTGCGGCGGCCGCCATATTGAATCTAGAATGACGCCACGTTGCTCACTGCATCTCTCTCGTCAAGCCCTTTCAGTCGATAACCATATCATAGGAGTAACTATAGAAATTATAAACGCCATATTGCGGTGGTCGACATATTTGATTTGAAATAACACTGCTTATCGCGTTTCTCTCAACCCCTTTCATCTGCTGCCCATATTATAGAGGTGACTATGGAAATTATAAATCAGCAAAGTGCGGCCTCGGTCATACTGGATTTAGAATGGCGTCAGTTTGCTTATTGTGTTTCTCTCGTCAACTTCTTTTATTTGATATCAATATCAAATACTATGGAAATGATAAATCGCGATTATCTAACATACTAATAGTTACTTGTACAAGGGTTGTAAAAAGAGGCACTGTTAATACAATTTATATTGAAATCCCAGCTCAAATTAAGCCAGGAGAAAATTAAAACGAATCAGGGGAAATTCGTATTTTTTATCTCTTCAAAAATACTCCGAATTGATAAGCTATCTAAATAACATTTTATTAATAACCTAATTACATAACTTTGTCTTCATAAACGACTTTGTATTCTATTGCTCACCGTTTCCGAATTTAAAACCTCCATTGCATATATAGAGTGCTTTTAGGAAAGTCTAATCAAAATTTAACGTAGATTTCAACAAATCGTAGTAATTTCTAAAGTAATACATATTGGCCTAGATTGGGGAGAACATTTACAACTTTGTCGTAGTTGATTTTCATAAAAAATCTCTTAATTTAATTTCGTGGGTCTTGACAAAAGGAGTACAGATCTTTTGAAAACGTTTATAAATATACTAAGTGACATATAAATCCGAACACCCAGTTTAAATGGCTTTATTTTAATAAAATTTTGTATAAGTACTTAATGAAACATAATAAGTAAATGATAAAAATTTCAAAATGATTGCACTGCTTTAAAACCCTTCAACCTTTAATAATGTGTGGATGCACCCTGATGTGCTACGCATTCTCCAACGCGCCTAGGCAGGCTTCTGATCAGGTGGTCAATGTCCTCCTGTGGTATCTCATTCCAGGCAACCACCAACTCCTCTCGAAGTGCTTCTAGAGTCTGAGGAGGACGTTGCAAATTGAGCAATCTCCTACCCATCATATCCCACACGTGCTCAATTGGGGATAAGTCGGGAGATCTTGGTGGCCATGGTAACAATGTGACATCATTATGTTGAAAGAAGTCTATTGTGACTCTTGCAACATGTGGTCGGGCATTATCTTGTTGGAAAGTTGGATCTGCCAGGGTGTTAAGATAGGGTAAAAGATGGGGTTCTAGAACTCCGTGGATATAGCGCTGCGCGTTCATGTTACCTCTGATGAAGATTAAAGGTGACCTGGAACCATAAGCTATAGCACCCCAAACCATAACTCCAACAGTGTGATGAACATGTCTTTCAACAAAAAACTGTGGATTCCTCCTTTCACCACGTCGCCTTCTAACCCTGGCACGACCATCGTGCATGCCTAAACAAAATCGAGACTCGTCACTAAAGACAATACTGTTCCATCCCTGATCCCAGAGTGACCGTTGTCTGCACCACTCAAGGCGATTACGTCGGTGTTCTCGAGTTAAAGGGAGGACCCAGTGTGTCCGGTATGAAAACAAGCCAAAACTTCTCATTCGTCGGTAAACACTTCGCATGCCAATAGGTCTTCCGTGTTCTGCAAACCATTCATTTGCAATGGACCTGGTAGTGGAGAAACGGTCCCTTAAGGCCAATAATCTTAGGCGGCGATCTTCACGGTCTGTTGTTCTACGGCGGCGTCCAGTGCCCCTTGCTCTTTACGTTTTTCACTTGTTATTTACAGTAAGATAAATACATTAACCAACTTTTATTAAAATAAAACCATTTAAACTGGGTGTTCGGATTTATATGTCACTTAGTATATGCATAGCGAGAGCGAACATACTGAGAAAAGTTAATGTTTTCAATGAAAACTGAGATGGATCGTTAAAAGTGAAAAATGGGTCGCCAGCATCCCTGAATATTTGATGTGGAATTTTGTCCGACGCTAACAGTGTCATTATACATTTTTTTTTTGTTACGAATCCATCGAGGTGACGTGAATAAGACACCAAGATCGTGTCATCAGACTCGATTAGACTTTCTTCTGGAGTGGCAAGTTGGTGATGACCAGGCATAAAACATGACATTTGCCCACCGGCCAATTTTGTTGAAAATCCGTATAACTCATGTTTTACTGATCAAATGTTTCAATAAGTGCAATGCCCACAAATGCTTTTTGTTGGAGATACAGGGTGTTTAAAGTTTGGTGCCTCAGCCCTTGAAGATAAGTCTGCTTGCACCGTTTTACGAAAACCAACACACCTTTACTGTAGACTTAACGAAATAATAAAAATCACGTGAACACCCAATATATACAGCGTGTCCCAACCACCCAAAACGGAAAGTAATTTGATAGAAAATATATAAAACATAATTCGAAAGCTATTTGCGCAGCAAGATTGACATCTTATAAGAGTGTATTTCTAAATTTTTAGGAGATATGCAGGATGTTGCACAACTCCGTGGCACAACAAACATGATTATTCAATTAAACACCTTATATTTTATTATGTATAATCCGATAACCGTCCTAATAAAGTAGTATTAAGCTTAATATCAGAAGAACCTTATTGCGAGTCTGATTGTGTAAAAATATCTATATACATAGGATGCTCCATATAAAATTTTTGAGAAGAACGTCTCATAAAGTTGGCGTACGTTTTCATCTTCTTTCCAAAATTCAGTGGAAGACTACGTAAAAAGCATGAAGAGCCTTCAAGGATAGGCATTTGTTCATACAAATGATAAAATAACATAACAAATGGCAATAAAAATGCTACACGTACATTATATCAACCTTGTTGTTTTTGAAATGTCTTTCCAAATATCTGTACATTTAAAACATATAATTTAGATACATATTTCTGTTGGGTCACGCTGTATTTACTGTAACTGTTAACACGATTTCTATTATATTTTTAAGTTCCCCGAGTACATAAAAGACGAGTTAGTTTTTGTAAAATGGTACAGGAAGGCGTGCCCACAGGGATAAACACACCAAACTTTAAAACCCTGTATCTCCAATAGAAAGCATGAACTATCTTTATATGATTTTTCCTTAAAATTGACTGGTCAAATTCCATTTGTGCCTGGGGTACTTCAACATTACTAACATTTCAAATTCAGCTGGGTTTATGCGACACTGATCAAAAATTAAACTGACCCATAATTTATTGAATTGTATGAGGGGAAGAGTGAGATTATTTTGCATTGTAACATTTTTAAATGTCTGTTTTAGTAATCATATAGCATGCACCATAAAAACCTACCTATCCGAAAATCCAACAGAACAAATATCACATTTGAATGGCTTTTCTCCTGAATGCACTTTGGCATGATTTTTCAAGTGGGTAGCTTGGTTGAAGCAAGATCCACATATGTCACACCTGAAATATAATAAAAGATCGAGTATAAAAAAATGAACATAGAAAATTCGAAGTAAATATATTTGAAGTGAAACTATTTTGTTGATTTTTTATTATTGATTAATTAGCATGTTACATTTGAGACAAACCTATAAGGTTTTTCGCCTGTATGGATTCGCCTATGGTTCCATAAGGTCGAATGCCTTGCAAATGATTTATCACAAACTTCACAAACATATGGTCTCTCACCAGAATGTATCCTTTCATGATTTTTCAAATGTGGAGATTGCGAGAACTGCATTCCACATACATTGCACCTAAAACCAACAAAAAAAAACATATCTTATAATGTAAAAAAGATTACAAAACATTGTTTGAATCAAAAGATCAATAAAACAGGCCGGGTTCAGCAGTAGTAGCGGTCTCGCCATTTATTCTCCCTATCCTTAGGTTCTGAAATACTAGTGGTAATATACAGTAAACTAATTTTTGTTACAACTGTTAAATAAGGTGGATATTCAAATGTTGCTTGTGACTACTTATAGTGCTAAAAAATGAAAATATTACCTATAGGGTTTTTCGCCAGTATGAATCCGAGAATGGTTTTTGAGATACGCGGCCTTGGCAAATGCAAGGCCGCAAATATTGCATTTGAAGTTTTTCTCTCCTGTATGTAATCGTTTATGTGACCATAATGAAGAGTACCTACTGAAAGAACCTGAAAAACAAGTTTGGTGCATAGGGTTATTAGGCAAAACACTCAAGCTACGACATACTAGAGATTACATTTTGAGAGATTGCAAGGCACTTTGCATATCTTTTAACATGACATTTAGAAGAACTTACCATTACAAATATTGCAATGGAACGGTTTATCGACGTTGTGTTGTTGAAGCTTTGCTCCTCCAATGAAAATAATACCACTCCCATTACATTTTGTGCATTTCGTTACACTAGTCACTCCTCTTCGTTTTACTGGATGATTATTTTTCACTCCAATTGGTATGGAATTCTGTGTACCTTGTAATAATATTCAAATAACATCATTTTTATGATAAATTGCGACAAAGTTGTATTGTAAAAATGATCTAAATTTATTTTTAATAAGTATATTTAAGTTGAGTGATTAAAGCAAACATTCAATAATCCAACCTTTGAGGGGCGCTAGCAGTAATGGCTAATGGAGGTATTGTGAATATAACAATATTAATTCTTATATTTCCTGCTTTCAAACAAGGGTTTCAAAAGTTTTGGTAGTGAAAACAGGAAATTCTCTTATTAGCTTATAGGGGAGGTCAGGTTCAGAAATAAATATTCATCGACAATGTCCAAACAATGACCTCAAAAATATAAGCAAAGAGTAGGTGTAGTAATCTGTCTCAAGATCATTTTTCCTCACCAAGGGTTGTAGTCTGAGTATGCGTTTCCTCATACTTGACTGTAGATGTCTCCGCTGTCGCAACAACAAATATTTGAGGTTGTATAGCTTCTGCACTCAAACAGTTTTCACATCTCACTTTCATCACAGCACGTTTCTTGTTTGTATCAGGTTGGAGCGGTGCTCCGCAGGTTTCACAATTTTTCACCTTTAGGCTGTTTTGTGACTGCGGCTGTGTTTGCTGCACCTAATATGAGTAGTAACAAGTACGTATTATATCAAGTTTATTATTCATTGTTCACAATACTGCTACAGCATATGCCGGGTGTTTCAAATTCGACCCTCATCATTGGGATCTCGGAAATAGTAAGAGATACGAAGTTGCTTAAATGGGGGCAAAGTTGCGTATATAGGTAGCTATTAAAATGCGGCTTAGAAAGTTTCGAAATTCAAAGTACTTGCCAGTTGCGCTTAGGTATTGTATTAGATATGCTGTGACACTATGAGGTGATTTTCGCCAAAGTAATGTATGTTCCTATTTTTTTTTTTCGTATAATTAATTTTTCACTTGCTATTTTCCAGAGAATCATTCTGAGAGTGATGTATCTACCACGAAAACGTTAAATAAAATACAACACCTCGAAAGGTAACAAAACCATAGGGATTTCCTATTATTCTCCTCCCTCCTTTCCAAGATTTGGCCACCAAGAAGATATGTGTCTTCTACTTTGAAAAATAATCTATAGTTCGTGTAAATGCTCTCAAAGTTTCAGTGGCATAAGGATAGACTGGCGAGTTTATGGGAAGTACATTTTCTACTGCTATGGTACGTCATGTTTCTTTACTAAGAAGGTCAAGTAAATCAAATATACCTGCTGTTGTGGCTGGTGAGACTGCATTTTGTGATTTTTGAGTTCAGTCTGTGTAGGAAATGTGAGTCCACATTCTTCACACGAGAATCGAATACGATCCGCTGATATGATCTGTATCTGGGAGGTTGGTTGAGTAGGCTGCACCTACAACACAAAAAGATTAAAAACACATATACCGTTTGATTATAAAAAATCTCGCTACCACAATACATGCGCCGAACTGATACGTCTTAAAAAAGACAAAACAGCGGTTGAAAAAACTGATTTCTGTATATGAGGTATTTTTATTAAATGTTGCCCTTTACAATTTATTTTGAATATAACATCGATCGAGTGACCACCTTTATTGGCCATTTTGCTACTTTTTCCATCATTCCGGGTGGTATAACGGTACGAATCTTTGCTTCGAGTTCATCGATGGCCTGAGGCGTCCTAGCGAACACTTGGCTTTTTAAATAACCTCACCAAAAGAAGTACTGAGGGGTCAAATTTGGAGAACTGGGTGGCCTGTCAATGTCGCCTCATTTTGAAATCAGACATCCAGAGAATTTTTTTTGCAGAAACTATATTGTTCGATTTGCGATGTGGCATGGTGCACCATCTTGTTGAAACCAGAAACCATCAAGACCTTTTTAACGCATTTGTAGCAAACAGAATGAGCCAACATCCACAGTGATAACGATTTCCATCGACTGTTTCGTTTTCTTTGAAAGAAATGGCCCAGTGATCGTTTTGGCGCAAACGCCGGCCCAAACAGTCACTTCTCTATCATGCAATGGAGTTTCGTGGATCTCGTGTGGCTGCTCCGTATCCCAAATGCGGCAATTTTGCTTATTAATCAATCGAGCGACTATTTGGCTGTATTCCAAGGGACGTGGATGGTCTGTCAGCAATATTTTGTGTGTTAACTTCACTTTATACGGAAATAATTGCAAATCATCCTTCAAAATGCGCCGCAAAGTGGTTCCGCTGAAGCCAAAATGCTGAGCGCGGTGACGATAGGACAGGGTTCTGGGAAACGCTTTATCTGACCGCTTCAACCAGTTCATTGGAACATCTTGGTCGTTGATGTACGGTATGTTGACGATCTCCCACTGTACCGTACTCAACAAAATTCGAAACCCAACGACGGATACTGTTGTCAGACGATGCATGTTTGCCACGATATTTTCGACGATATGCACGTTGAGTTAACGCAACTGAAAGACTATTTTCAATGTACATTGTCACTATTTCGGCGCAGTGTTTCGGTGTAAAGCAATTCATGGTTAAAATTGTACTTAAATGACGTGTCAAAAATACGTATAACCAAATCAATCGGTTGGTAAATGTCTCAGTTATTCAATGTTTACATACCGACAAAATATGGCGCATCCATTATATTACTGATTGTATAAAAGTAAGATCAAAAAGTACCTGTACTGTAATTTGCTGCTGTTGCGTCTGCGCTTGATCAGTCTGCCCATGGTGAACCTTCTTGTGATGATTAAGCAATGGTAGATGTGCAAACATGAGCCCACATACCTCACACTTGAACGTTATGTTTGATATGGCATTCTGGGTCAATAGATTTTGATTTACTAAGGTGTAGTTATAACTGAACGGTTGCGTGATGTAACATTTGTCGTCTGTCAACTGAGACATGTTTACCTAAAATCAAATAATGTAAATTGCAAACATTCTAGCAATTAATACTAAAAAATAAAATCACTCATCAATCAGTTGGGATGTATGCATACAATGTTTAAAGCAAGAATGCTGATTGTATAGATCGTATAATAAAGCTACACAAATTATATTTGTAAAGAGCTGATCAACCCTTAACATTGACGCTGAATCTAGACGGAATATTTCTGCCTTGACCTTGACACCAAAATGTTTTAGTTTAGTACTATGAAGTGGAAGCCGGATTCAGAGGGTCACTGATACTGAGGTTTTGATATCTCCCGGAACTACCCTAACCTACCTATTAAGATTCCCTTCTTTTTTTATAGGGATGGTTTTAGAATTGAGGGAATTAAAGTGATTTTTTCATAAAACACCAAGTCAAGGCCACTCAAGTGCAGATTTAAAATTATCTATTAATCATTGCTGAAAACCATCGGAATGAAATGCTCCATTATGTCAAGTGTCATACATCAATCAAAAGAATTATTTGCATTTTATAGCACCCCATCCTGCCTACTGAAGAATAATTTCTATAATACTTATTTTAAAACAAGAGTATCAGACATATTTTCAATTGATCTGTGAAAGCATTTTATAAGATTTCCAAAGCTTCCATATAGCGGAATCTCTTCTGTAATCTTTAAAAGATTAAAAAAAGAAAACGTGACAGAATATTTTATCTTAATCAAAGTTCCAGTTGGGTCGCCAGACAGATTTTTTAACTAACCGTTGAGGTATGATTTTGATTGGTGGTAGGCGTGATCTTGTGGATCATGTTGACGTTAGCGTAGCAAAATGGCGCGAAAGTACTGTCCTTCTGTTGCTCCTGCGCTTTATCCTTGTCATTTTGCTGCTGAGGTTGAGGCTGTTGCTGGTATTGGATCTGTTGCGACTGTTGAGTCGTTATGGCATTCGGATCGAACATCATCGGGACGGTATGTGGGGTGTGCGTCTAAAACAAACGAGGACTATGCCCCGTGATAGGATTTTAGTGAATAGGTCAAAACAGATGATTGTCAATAATAGTTGTGTATAGTCTAAGAAATATAGCAAAATCGTTTAGAAATAATAAATGGTAAAATTATTTGGTGTGACTAGTGAAAAGGGGCGAGTTTATAAGTAATGACAGGAAGTTTGCGATAAATAGGGTTAGAAATCATTTTTAATTTTTTTCCTCAAGTTATTTTATCCCTGAGGGAATTAATGATGGATCATTGTTTAGCACTAAAATACCTACAGCTTAAATTTTCGAACACCAAAATCCTTGTCCTTATTTTGTAGAGGAAGACGGTGGAGGGGAGATGATTTTAAATATTCAAAGAATCGTCAATGGTTAATTATGAATATTAAAGTGTACAGTATCCTTAGGCGTTCAGAAAATGTTCTGAAAAGGCTGCTTACATCTGTTAAATGTTCAGTAATTTAATTGATTTATCATTATTTTTATTATTGAAGTACACATATACTAGTTTGTAATGAAAACCATACAACGCAACGTTCAAAAATTTCTCAAGTTGGTCTACTGCCAAAGTTACATGTTTCATAAATTTTATAAAGCCACCTCTTATGCAGGTTCTATGGAAGCAACAATATGGAAGCAGATTGAAAGAAGGCATAGATTAACATCCGGTCAGCAATTCATAGAAATATTCTTGTAAGAAAGTATTTTAGCCAATATAGAGCTGTACAGTGGAGTTAACTGAGAAGAAAATACATATTTTGCTATAAAAGTACTATAAAAATTTGGAAGTAGGAACAACACCATAGAATGTCTTGAAAATAATATATCACTGGGTCTATTTTTCGATCTCTCAATATCCTATGATTGTGTGGACCATTCTCTTCTATTGAATAAACTCGAGGCATACGGGATAAGCAAAGGGTTTCCATTACAAAGAATGGAATATCAGCTATTCCACGAGGTAGCGTCTTAGGACCTCTCCTCTTTTTAATTTTTGTGTACGATCTGTGTGCTAGTATTACAAGCCCAAATAATGTATGCACGATCCAATATACTGCTGATACTAATCTACTAGTCTCTGGTAAAGATTTCAACCATTTAGCTGGAAGTACTTTGATCCTCCGCAAGAAAGCGTTTTTGTGGTTTGCTCGTAATGGATTATCCCTGAATACCTCAAAAACATGTGCGATTGTTTTTAAGCTAAGAAAAAAAAATCAAAGCTACAAACATCACTTTAGCCGAAAGAACAGAAGTCCCGCGGGCAGACTGGGAAATTCTCGGGAATTTATGTTGATCAAGCACTTTCCTGGGCTAAACATATAAAGCATCTAGAAAATAGGTAAAACAACGCATGCTATAGCATTAGAGTACTAAGTCAGTACCAAGACCTTAAGACGCTACAAATTGTATATTACGCGAATTTTGAGCCCATTGCACGTTTTGGCATATTTTTTTTGGACATAGTATCCATACCAATAGGATCTTTCTAGTGCTGACGCGAGTGCTGAGGTGCATCCTAAAATTTTCTCTCGAGAAACTTGCAGAGGAAAATTTAACAGTAATAAAATATATATTCAAGAGATACTAATTTTTACACTTAAAAGCATTGACAACTTTATCGGTCACCCACGAAGTGACTATAACACAGGAAATAGAAATATACATTTTCTGTATCCAGTCCACCATCTCACGGTTACCGAAAAAAATGTCCAAATGCTCCACTAAAGCATATAAACCACACGAGATTAAAAGGTTGTCGGATATAAAAAGAGTACTCAGCAATTGTTAATGCACTTAGTACCATATAACCTTCAAGAATATTTTGAAATGTAAAATCTGTATACATGTATGTTCCATGATTGCCTTTTCACCTATTTGAAATAAAAATTTATTATTCTTATTAAATGACCCGGCAACCCGTTTATGGGAAAAGTGGTTACGGTTAATTTCGCTGAATTTTTCATATGTTATGCGTGTTGGCATCCCGAACAAATGTTTCTATGGGCATAGGCCTCCAACCTCAACGGGTCCCAAGATATAGGCCGTCCAAGTCGGTATAATGGAATATCGGCCCTACTCGAACATCTGCTAGAAGAGGAATAGTGGTTTCGGTCAATTTCGATGAATTTTTTATACGATGTGTGTTTCAGCATCCCGTGCAAATGCCGTAAGCGCAGTTCTACTCGAATATTTGGAAGTGGAAGAGCGGTTCGGTCAATTTCGCTGAATTTCTCATTAGTTATGCGTCTTGGCATTCTGAACGAAATGTTTTAGGGGGACAGGTCCCCAAATTTGAAGGGTCCAAGTCAGTATAATGAGGGGTATGGTTCTACTGGACTATCTGCTTTTAGTAGAAGAGTAGTTTCGGTTAACTTCGCTGAATTGATTATTATATGTATGTTATGTGTCTCGGCATCCTGAACAAATGCTTCAATGGGCCCAGGCCCCAAAACTTAACGTGTCCCAAGATATAGACCGTCCAAGTCGGTATAATGGGGAGTCGGATTTACTCAGCTATCTGCTCTATCTAGAAGAGTGGTTTCAGTTAATACGACTGAAATCTCATGTATCTCCTGCATAAATGTCTCAAAGGGCACACACCATTGCAATCACGTCCCGTTTCCATTTAGTTTGGAGGAATTATACTTGATGAAGTTTAGTAACAGGTAGGCCGACGAATCTGTGTATCTGCTAACCGGCTACGGCTCAGCAAGGGCTAAGGCAGTGAAAATGCCAATGGCAATCAAATAGGAGAATTGATAGTTGGTGGTGGAATGATTACAATGAATAGAGAAAATATCGTATCTACTAGTGTGAATAGTACCATTACCCCCCTATACTGACTTGCTTTCTTGGCATCCGTTGAGATTTGAGTTTTGTGTCCTGTGATACATTTATTCACGACGCCAAGACACGCGGCATATCACAGATTCAGTCAAATTAACCGAAACTACTTATCCAAGCAGAGCAGATGTCGGAGTAGAACAGATATCTAATTATACTGACTTGGGCAGCCTATATCTTAGGACCCGTTTTGAGTTTTTGGGCGTGTTTCCTTTGTGTTCAAGACACCAAGATATAGGTACATAGTTTTAGTCACCGTTCTTAGCGGTTACGTCATCAACGCCATATGAAATAAGTAAACAGATCGAGTCTCCGTACCATGGGCGGAACACTGCGTATACTAATCTTCAGCGCATCTGCTACTCTCTTCAGTACGCATGAAGTGGGCAACAGGGAACCTCTGTTTTCAGTCTCTTCCTGAAAATACTCTAATAAATTTAGCACGAATTGTCTGCCTTCTCCATTGATTGTATTTCCGGGCACTTTCCAATTTTATATTGAAGACTGATAACAGGACAACCCAAATTGCACGCCATTGTCAAGTAAGTTCTCTGACAAATATGATTGAAGGGCACTCATACGTAACGACAAAGTATTCGAGACGGAGCCACACAACTAACAAACGTTCACACACAGGGGTAGGTTGCATGTGTATGAATAAGTGAGATGGAGATATACACATAAAAGGATATTGGTCTCCAAGAGTGGAGACTACTACTTTACAAAGCATTTCACAAATTCAGTAATACTAACTGAAAGCACTCTTCCAAGTAGACCAGATTACTCAGTAGGACCCATACTCCATCATACTGACTTAGACTGACGACATCTTGAGACCCATTGAGTTTTGGGGTATGTACCCATTAAGACATTTGTTCAGGATGCCAAGACACATGATATATCAAATATTTACCGAAATTAACTGAAACCACTTAAAGCAGAGATAGATAGATAGATAGTCTTTATTGTCTTTTGGTCATAAATAGCTATGACATAAGACTTGTCAACATTACATATGCAATACATAAGTATGCGATGTGCAAAAAAGAACAGGTAGTTAATTAAAACAGTAATTGAGATAATAAATAATAAACAAATAAATAAATAAAATAGGAGTCATTACAAACACAAACAAATTCTTAATGACATCTAACGAACATGAAAAAGAAAAAAAAAACAATTTTAAATAAATAAAAACAATTGTACATTTTTGTACAGGCATAGAGTGGTGATTTCTGAAACTGGGCTGTTGCGTGGACTGGTATACTTAAGTCAAAACCTATTCTGGTGTTGTAGTGCCTGTTAACTCTGTTGTTTTGAATAAAACTGGTCCTATGTTTAAATGTGAAGAGAGCGCATTTATATATATATATAGATGGATATTAATGTGAGCAGATTATATGTTCTGAAAATATCTTTACAAGAGTCTCTTTTGTTGATATTGAAAATCAGCCTGAGTACTCTTTTCTGCAAGATGAAGACTCTGTTGTTCATGACTGCTTGTCCCCATAGTATTATTATTGCTAAGATGCGGGCAAGCCAAGGCGTAGTAGATATCTATAAGAGCTGTTTGGGAGATGTTTTGTTTGAGTTTCAAGATTGCAAAGTATGCACTATTGAGTTTCTTAATGACATGATTCACATGTGACTGCCAGCCCAACTTCCCATCAATATGAGTTCCTAAGAATTCGGTTCCGCCTGAGAAGATATCGTTGTGCAACCGTGGTTTGCTATTGTAGAAATGCACATACATTGTTTAATCAGCGTTTAGTATAAGGCGGTTTGATACACACCAGTCGTTCATTTCTGTTTCAACTCGCTCAATTGCTTGGAGCAGGTCAACTGGTGTTGCGGCACTAACTACTAGTCAACGCCAAACAAAGTGGCGTGCACGTCATCACGATAAAAATTCCCCGACCTAATGCCTAGGTTTCTATCACAAACAATTGCTCTATTGCAGTTTCATATTAATGTGATATATAAATTGTAAAATGGTCATTACTCTCTTATTATGGTTAATAGTCATATAAACATTGTTATTAAAATATCACATAAGTTGCTTTCTGATAAATTTAGACGCATTATGCGAAATAAAATGTTTTGCAAACGCTCCAATCACTTATCGACATGTAAACGCACTAAACCGATTTCGCAGCGTTGACA